GATTATCGATAATATTTCTGATTAAATTTTCACAAGCGAGAGTTCTGTAAAGCGGCAAAAGAAAGCTTTGAGAAGACAATGCAGGAGAAATAAAGCGGATGAAGGAATAAAATCACGCGTCTTTGGTCCCTGATGCGTCTTATTTCCCTGTGGATAATCTTCCATACCTGTAAATTTACTCAGAAATCAGATGTGTATTCTTTTGGTATCATTATGTATTCCAGAAAGAGAAACAATTTATTTTACTAGAAAGATAAAGAATTCATAGGAAAGAAACAGTTCGGGTGGGACAGGCATATCCCGCAAGAAAGGAAGAAAATGAAAGGGGGGGGGTGAAGAAATGATTGAGCAAAGGATGGAACGCCCAATCTTGTCCAGCCTGTTGCTTCATTAAGTTGTAATAATAAATGGCATATTAATATCTATACCCACAGGGAACAGCCTACTCTATTATCACGTTGAGTATACAAACACCTTTCAGAGTTTGCCAAAAAAGGTGAATTGCTAAGCAATGATTTCTCCCATTAGCAGGTTGCGAACGGAGGATACGAATAATTCGGAGTATATAATGTATCCAAGAAGTCAATCGTTACGATTTAGTAGATTTATCTGAATATGGCTCCCTCATTTACTGTTGAGTTGGATGTTGCGACTTTCTATTGCGACAGCTCTTTGTGCATGTTGAAGAAGGTGACATGACTATGACATTCGGCTCCGCCAACTAAACAAATGATTTTATATTAATATGTGAATTCTGATAATGATAAAGCTGGAGTAACTTAAGAATCACATACTAATTTAATACTCGTAATTGCGTGAATAAATTGGCTACACCTTTGTTGCAGCATATTCCATATATGCAAGCATACCCATATATGGTTCATACAAATAAATTACAAACCATATGACAGAGATTAATTATTATTAATCATAATAATAATAACTGATACGTACATGTCACAAATCAAAACATGGATTTCTGGTGTACTACCCACAATACAAATCTGCGACCTGTACACACACCCTTCTAATATAATGCTCTTCAACTAATTAATAACTGTAGCTATTACCTTTGAAAGGTTGCGATATTAACGAATAGTAATAAGAAGAGCACCACTATATCCTACAATTACAATACCTTACTATCGATTATATACATCACTAGAGAATCAAGGACAAAATAATAGAATTATATATATTTAAAAACATCGCTAATTAGACGTTCAGTTAGCATCTCAAGTAAGTGTCGTACATCTCTTAGCGCATTGCCTTTACGCTACGCTGTTGCACTTACTCTTAGTTTTAATTACTAACATTTCTTTTTATTAACGCAGAAATCACTGTAATGATATTAATAGCGAAACGAAGAATGAGAATACGGCAAATGCGTATTACCACAAGACGTTATATTAACTTCCTCTTCATATTCTTAATAATACTCGCTTTTTCATCCCACAATGTGCAAGCTCAATCTCAACAAACAGATTCTAATCCTTCTATGACAATACCCGACATGCAGTGGGTAGAACTCAACCTCAGTGGAACTCCACCAAATGGACTTCGGGACTATGCTGTTGGCTATATAAATTCAAATAACAAGTTGGTTATTTTTGGGGGAACGTAAGTTTCGTAAATTCAAATGTTTGTTTATTGATTGCTTGGAATATGCGCTACGGATAGTGAAAGTATTGATAACAGGAGATGATTTATCACCAACAACCAAGTCACGGGATATGTGGGATGAGAATGCTTAACATAGTTTCATTGAGTTCACATATCTTTAGAATATACGTTTCCAATACCGATTAGACGGCTGGGATAAGACACTAATTCAGGACAACGTGTATATCTAGCCTTCACAACGGCGAATAAGAAATGATTCGACTGCTAGAGACAGAAATTGTGTGAAGAGTCTTTATTTCCATAATCCATTTATTAATCTAAATTCTTTCTTATATGCAGTACCCAAGGCGGCGCTAAATCTGGATCAACTTATCTTCTTGATTTCAACCAGATGTCTTGGGTACCTCCAAACCCCCCATCAACCGCAAATACCACTACACCAGGAGCAAGATCCAATATGGTCTACGGAATAGATGTATACTCTAGTTATCGTCAGCAACTCGTGATAACAACCGGACTCGGAAACGATGGAAAACCATTTAACGACACATGGGCGTTCGATATGAACTACCAGAGCTGGCGACAGATAACAAATGTGCAAACACCTAATGGTCCTGTACCTAATATGTATGATGCTATCGGTGGGACCGACTTGGAAGCACAAGGAGGAATCTCCACGAAGAACAGCATGTGGGTCACTCTTGGCACTGACGGCACCAATAAGTATCAAGATACCTGGAGATTGGTTTTGGATGGTGTTTCGTCGCCCAATGTTGATCAACTGAATGCATCATGGTATAAACTAACTACGTCAGGAAATATTCCTCCAGGTAAATCAATAAATACCAATAATTCCAGGAGAAACTATTACATCCCCACCTTTTTATAACTTAACGAGAATTTGACTTTACCTTCCAGTCAAACTTAATGCTGCTGGTACAGTTCTACCGGGAGGACACATTGCGATGTTTGGAGGTTGTAACACAATGACATCTAATTGTGCTACACGTGATGCTTATGTGGAGTCTATTCAGAACTACCAAGATCCTACGCCAACATCTGCTCGACCCTCGTGGCTCAATGCCAGCCAGTGTCCTGGACCACGAAGTGGTGCTGCTATGACAATGAATTACAACAGAGCCAATCCAGCCTTTGAGAATCAAGTCATTTTATTTGGCGGCGAAGGGACAAGCCAGTCGGGTAATGGGGTACAGGGCGAGGTTAACATATTAGACGTCTCGGCGGTAAGCAATGATCTGAGTAATACAAGTGGCTCGCGATATAAGAAAGTGATCGGGACCCATAGTAAAAAATCTTAGAATCTTTCTTATACCGAGAGTTTATTAGTAACTTTCTTATATAGAGATAGTTTCATATAGACTATTTTTTAGATCAACTTTCTTATATCAAATTTTAATTAGTGTTTCTTATATCGAGAGCTTCTTATATCGAGTTTCACTTGTATAAACACATTATCAACATGTCTATACCTAGCAACGACAAGTAGCTGTATATCATAACTTTCACATCCTTGTTTCGCATCTTCCAAATCGGTTTATTTATTCCGGCAATATTATGCATGAAATCACCACTAACGCCTGTTTACGTTTAGGGGACTTGGGTAAGAGTGCTGCCTAAACCTGATCCGAAGTCTGCTAAACAATATCCTCGCCTTCGTGCGGGCGCACAAATGCTCGCATTACCGAAAGCGGTCTACAAGAGCAACGGCATACCGGACGGTACCGATATCTTTCTTTTTGGTGGAGAAGCGCTAGATGGATCAGGAGAAATGCTTTCAGACGTCTGGCTGTTGCGTCTATCTAACACTCCCATCAAACGGGGTGCTTCTGATGGTACCAAATTTTTACAATGTGACGTTGGTGATGGCACTGGTGTAGATAACACTTCCGGGATCGATGGAAATAATGGATCAACCACTAGCGCGGACGTCACAATTTCGACAATAAGTTTCGTATTGTTGCCACTAGCTATATCAATATTGAGATTTGGTACGGGACATATGGGCGGTCTGACAGCTATTTTATATGGATTTACCATTATTTCTTCGTATGTCACTGCCTTTTTGGGTTTTGGAATTTCGAAGACGAAAGAGTATTCCACAACGCATAGGATTCTAGGTTTGATTATTCTCATACTACTATATGCAATAGTCCCATTGGCGAGCATAATATCATGGGGTGTTCGACGGAAATATGAATCAAATTCGTCAGCTACTCATCCTGAAGGTACGAGAGCTAAAGCCAAGACTAAAGGCTTTATTCCAAAGATGGCAGCATTATTCCAATTTGGTGATTCAACAGATTATACTAAGGCTACAGAAAAGTCTTTCCAAGTCGATAGACGTGAGAGTAACGGAAGAAACACAAACAATCACTCACGAGATGATGGCAATTGGTTCGATAAGCGTAAAAGCGTCTCTATCTCTGATACGCCTACTCTACAAAACGATGGTTCTTCTCGTGACAGTCTCAACAATGACATACCGCGTCGTGGCTCGACTGCCGCTTCGACTGTTCAACCGAATTCTCTTGTATTGGGTACAAGGCATGCTCACCACATTTTCTCGCAGCTGATCTTGCTTTTAGGAGCAATATATGTCGCAATATCGCTTTCTAATGAAAATTCTGTTAAAGGATTTTGGGTTGCGCTGTTTATAGTATATATGGGTGTTATGTACGTCATCTGGATAGCAGCAGCTTGGAGAGGATATCCTCGTGGGAGGAGATCGTTGTTGGTCGCCTTCCTTGGCAAGTATTGTCATGGTAATGGTGAATTTGATGATAATGAGGAAGAAGAGTATAATAATGACACCGAGCTAGTTAATCCGTGGGTGAATAATAATACTCAATTAAGACATGTACGAGACGAGGAGGAACTAGATGAGGAGGCACAGGCGCAAATGGAAGAGGAGATGGCTAATCGCGAAGTTGTCGTGATGACTATACCTAAGAGAAGACTAACGGTGGTGAATGTCTGAATGAAAACTATATCTTCTTATCTGTTCGTGGTGACTCAATATTGTGTATATGTTGACCATATTCGTTATTTATCAACCGATCTTTGGTTGTGGATATTCTGATCAACTTCCTCTCGCAATTCTGTAAACGTGTTTTTAACATAACATGATTGTAATCTATTACTATATTCTGACATATTTTTGAGTTAGTCGCTAGTTATTGGGCTATGATGTAAAATTATAATATTAATATTTATAGTGGCCGATAAATGAGAATGGACAATATATTTATACCAATCGAAGTGACTATTTTTTGCTATTAAACAGAACCACGTGACCAATATAATTGGATTAAAAGTCTTCCAAATGTCAGAATTTAAACACAAAGCTGTTGGTTTTCATGAACGTCTCCACAGTTACTCATACTCATGTGAATCCAATAAAACCCATCACATTTGTCTGTTCGAAGTCACTTGAATTAGTGGAGTTGACTAATAATAGTTCTGACAAGAAAAGCGGTGATCATGCAAGTGAGTTTTATAAAAGCGTCATATCCCGTTCTTCTCAGCAAGATAAGATGAAAAGTCGTGGTAGAAACCCGAATAAGAAGCAGGAACCTCCTGCAACTAAAGCTTGGTGCTCAGATTGTGAACTATGGGTTGATATTAAACTGCTTGAAAAACATATTCACGGAACGGCCCACTTAATAAGCACAAAACACGAAACTCCTCTACCCGATCCTATAGTATTAAATGAGGTGGGAGCTATTTGGTGTTAGCTATTATTCCAAATACCCACGCAAAGTTTATGAGCTTACAAATAAATTTATATTTTCGTTTTTTTATTGTTTAGAATAATCTTGGGTTTCGCATGCTTCGTGATCAAGGCTGGACATATGAAAAAGGTCTTGGTATTGAAGAACAGGGTGGAAGGCATCCGATTCCAATACGTATGAAGAACGACAAATTGGGTATTGGAATGAAACGTCAAAAACCAGAGAGAGAAGAATCAAAGGTAAATATGAATTTGAAAACTATTCTTCTGAAGTTAGCGCACTGTCTTTCTAAATAATGTGACTTAACATCTCTTTGCAAGAATCCCGTAAAGAGGCTGAGTGCGAAAGAAGCAAGAAAGCAATATGAAAAGAATCGAAGAGATAAAATGCAATTGCTCGAATACATGAATAAATAGATAGCCTTTGTATGAGTACAATAAGGTTTATGAAGAAAAGCTTACACTGACTGATACAAGATAAACATCGGAATGGCATAGTTTCTTCTGAGTGCCCGTATAGCAGAGAGAGGCCGTTCAGATTTATTGGTGTAGCCAACAGCATGACCCAGCACGGAATTGATTTAATACATTAAAACAACGAAGAAAATTTGAAGACTCAATATTTCAACAAATAAAACCACCGTACTGTCGATATATTGGTATCCTTATACACAGGCAAACTCGATAAGTCGGCCATGCATGATGGACCGACTTATCGAGAGATTTTAAATATTAGTTTTGGCCTTCTTAGGCCAAAATTGAATCATCGAGAGACCGACTTATCGAGTTTGCCTGTGTATGTGAAAATCTTTGCTGGGTTCCCATTCCAAGAAATATAGCTTTCCTTTTTTCTTGAGTTCAGACTTGGATTATAGATAAAATACTGTGAGATGAAAGTCTGACCAACAGTCAAGAAGGTTCCTTTTTACCAAAAAGGAAATGATTTCCCTATCTTCATTAGCTGAGTTCCATAGTTATCTCAAAATCAGTCTTAACTGTCTGCTTGGGGATACATTGTTGTACACATTTATGTTTAGACATCTTATACTTTATCATAACTCATTGCTTCTAACCCTCTTTGAAATCTTAGTTCTATTTCCAGTGACTTAAAATAGCATAATAATAAGTAAAGAAAGACAGGCACATTGTTTTGGTGTTATTTTTATTTTAGCATTTTAAATGAGCCAAAGCAAAAGACATTGTTGAAAGATTTTCTTTATTCACATTCTTACAACTATCCTCCTCCGTTTCTTCATTGTGCTGATTTCTCTAAATATGTTTGTTTATTAGTTCCATCGGCGATTGGATCGATAGGTATTAGATAGTTGTACCAGTACGCAGTGAAAGCCGATATAACGGACCGTCAATAAAACGGACTTTTTTCTCTGGAACGGAATTTGTTTATTAAATAACAATCTGATATAAAACTTACAGGTCGATATTACGGTCCCGCACAGTCCGTTATATCGACTGTGCATATACACTTATACTGTGCGTTCTCATTAGTAGGTAGTTTGCCAAATCTGGCAATAGTTTGGGGGAGGTAGAGGGCCCCTACCAAATTTAGTAACGAAACGTTACCAAATCTGGTACTGATTAGAGCACCCCTATATCATGATAGGTTTGCGTCTTATGCCTGGCCCATTTGAGCTAGTCAATAATGGATACTTCCCAAATGCAGTAGGGGAAGTAGCCAAATTTAGTAACTCGAAGCGCTACCATATCTGGTAGGGGAGGTAGCTGATGAGAACGCACACTATAGTCCCTTATTATGTGTTTCAAATGAACACACATGCGTGAAGCTTACAACGAAAATAGCAACAATCGCCTTATTGTCGATTAAAAAGCATTGATGATTAAGCATTGTAGAGCAAGATTTGTGATTGACCCCCCCACACACTAACGAAAATCATATAGTCTAGTGACCTATATAATAAAGAGGGTGTGACTGAGAGTGCGTTTATCTCCATACAAAATCTCGCGGTATAAGATTGATGGGTGTTGTGGACTTTTTTCGTTTGGTTTTCTCCGAAGTGTGGAGATCAATCAACATAATAACAATAAGAATTAGTTGAAGTTTTTATCACGTTGTTTATTTGTTTCTGAATTATAAAGAAATTTTAGCAATACAATGACAAACGCGGATATGATGAAGATCGTCTGTATTGTTGTGTTGTCCCTAATTCATATTAATTTTTATGGTCATCATATCCAAGTATCAAAATAAACGACAATATTGCTGCATTTATTAATATAGATTAAATGCTGACGATTTTCTGACAAAATGAAGCAGAAACTTACAGCCTATAATCAAATGTATGTCCACAATTATTTTTTCTAATATAATAAGTACTCGGTATGCAAAAGGAGGTAGTTTCTCTCTCGAAGGGAAAATGGGCTTTCAAATTGAATCTATAGTCACTGTCCTATTCCACTATCGATCGACACATTAGGGATGACCATTACCTAATCGAAATAAAATGTTATTATGGATGTAATGACTTGAATTAGTGGGTAATATACCACAGAAAAAAAGTAACATTGAGAAAGACAGCAAGTCGACGGATAATGTGTGGTTGTAAAGACACATGCGCTGATGGCCAATGTGGTTGTAGAAAAGCAAAACAGATGCATTAGTATATGACAATCTAATATTAAATATTGGATGTAAACAATTGATGTGGAAAAAACAAACTTTATTTTGTAACTGAAAATGGTATATAAAATAGTGAATATTGTAACTATAGTTTATGCTTGCTGTTATTGTTACAGTAGTCTTATTACATAACTCATAGCGTTTATCCGTCCGCTGATTGAGAAAATGTTTAGGGACCGACATATCCACCACCTTTTGTAAGTGCGAGAATAGATTCTTAGTTCAAAGACTTGATTTAACAATCATGTTTTGTAGCAGACAGGTTATTTTTCCTCCATAAAGAATCGTCTCTACACTAACGACTAGATTTTCATAATGCAATATTTCTTACAAGTCGTTGTGAAATGCCAGCTTGTGTCACGGCATAACGTCTATTGGCCTTTTTAATAAAAACTTGCCCTATTTGTCAGAGAGTTTCCGGGGGGAAAAGATAACCGGCTCTCCGAAAAGCTCTGGTTGTTGTAATAAATTCATTTCTTTTTGCTGAAACAAATTAGCGCTTGATATGTGAGAGGAGTATTATATAATATATTTGTCGATACGATGATATATTCCTAAGTGCTCATTAAAGCTTGTTTCAAAAGTTATACACAGTGACTCTCTTTATAGTGTATCAAAAAAATCTACTAGTAAAAAATTCTCAAAAATACACTATATCGATAAATACACTATATCGGATAGCATTCATTATAGATGGTTTTGAACCTTTATCCACTATATCGCGATTTTAATTACCGTAGAACGCTGACTAAAGTACCCCCCCGTGTAAAGTACCCCTCACCATATAAGGCAATGGATTTGTAAAAGACCCGGGTACAGAAAACTCGATGATTACATATCACGTGGCTTATAATA